AGTTTTTCTTATTCTACTATTTTCTTTATAAGATGCTCGTGTTTTCATCCCATATTAAAGAGTTAATATTCTTTAAATATAATATAGTAATTCTTTAAATATAAATATAATATAGTATTTCAGTATTAATATATCTATATGTAATTATATTAATAAGATTTGCTTATTACTATTTGAAATATTAAGAATATCGAATTTAAAAAAGATATATATTTTCTTACAATTTTCAAGACTTTCTCGTCATATCGTTTAAATACGTAAATAGAATTTGTGATGCGCTATTTTATCTATGTATGGTTTAGAAAAATTTATGACTATGTTATGTTTTTTTTCTATATGCATCTATATAATAAAATGCTTTGTTAATTTATAATGTTTTCTATTATATATTGAAATCTACCTAAGATTGAAATGGCATATCATTTCATTTCCATTTTGAATAAATAAAATATATTTTCTAAACAAATAGTTTATTTATATAATTATTTTTATCAATATATTAATTGTTTAATAATGACCATTATTTGGTATAAATTATTAATATCACAAAACACTTATGAAATAGACAGATGATATCTTTCTTTATTTCAGTAATAGTGGAATGACATTACAAGGTGTACTGTGATACATATGTAGTAACTTAAATTTTTACATGACTTGTTAGTAGGTTATCTATATTTATATATTTTTATATATATATATATATAGTTTTTGTGTGATATTTACAAAAAGTATATTTTTTATTTCATATAAGATGCAGGATTATTAGCTATTGTATGAATTTCTAATGATTATAAATTTTGCTTTGTATGTTTATTTTAATAACTTTATTTTAATAAAAATTAAATTAAATTAAATTATCATCAATTTAAAAAAAAAACAAGAAAAAATCGTTACCAATCTCTTGTAAACTTTACGATGCAAGATAATGGCACGATATTAATTACTGATAAAAATTCAGTAAAAAATACAAAATAAATTATAATCAATTCATCAAATAAATGGCACTAATTACAAAGCTAGATTTACAATTTAAATTATTCTTTCACAAACATTTTTAAATATTTATTATTCCATCTTATTGTAACATAAATTTTTATTAAACATCTGATTAAATCCTAACTTCAAGTAGTGCCTTAACATAATTTATGGCCTTAGGTCTAACATGTATAGACTTTGTAAAAAAAAAAAAAGCGCAAATAGTAAATAAATATATCTTTAAACGTCAACTTATATAATCAAACTATTTAAAAGAAAAGAAAGAAAATAACATAAATGAAAAATATTTTATATTGCAAAAATAAAATATATCTACTTTAACTGTTACGTTATGTTGTCCAACTATTAATATCATAAAAAATTTTGCAATATTATTTTGCATTTATCAATTGAAATGAATTATATATAAAAATTATGTTAAATATTTCTTTTCATCTATTTTACTCGTTGCGTTTTAAAGTTAATTGTGAAAGCGCATATGTTAATAGATGTCATAGATATTTTTTAATCAAGAACTCTTGATGTTCGGTTAAAATAAAATTTTAATAAAAAAACGCACATGTATGATTTTGGAATGTCACGATAATAAATACGTACAAAAAGTAAATGAAATTGCAGATATATTATCTGCTTCACATGATTCAACTTACTAAATGTAGAATTTCTGATTTCTACAGTCCGTTATATTTGTTAGTAGCCTGAGAGTGCTATTTATATACAGTAAATTCTATAGTATTTCTATTTTCCATATCTTAGACTAGTTTCATAGAAAACGTAGTGAACTTATCGCTAACATCTATTGTAAATTTTTTTTGCATCTCCAGGCATGCTTTATCACTTAATATAAGATTTTAATTTCATGTAAAATTCCTTATTAAGATATAGAAATTAAATTTCAAATAATGAAAATTTATAAACTAAGTTGAAAAATGAGTATACTAAAATAATTAACAAATATAACAAGAAATATCTCAAGATTAATATCAAAGATGTAGGATAAAGCTGCTCACGCTAAAAGCACGCGATTAATAGTACACGTGAAGAATCTGATGTAAAATATACTGAGTATGATAAACAGATCAAGTAGAATACTACATGTAATTATGGACGTACATTATGTATTCGAATTTGTATTTGAAATAGATCTTCTCCATGTAATATGAACTCTTCTTCCAAAACTTCGCCTACTTAAAAAAATTTTATTTTAATAAATGTCTAAAGTTATATTATAATTAATCTTCTCTCTTTTTTTTTCTATCGTCTCAATTCTAATACTTACTGAATCACACAATTTCTTTGAGATTATCTCGAGTCTCACGATTACGGGAATGTATCAAGTGATGCATTTCACCTCCAGGTGCACTGTCTCGTCTCAAATCTTTCATTAATGAAGGAGTTATTACTTCTCTTTTATTTGCCGCTTCTTTTATGCTTGATAATGTCTTACTAAGCCATGGCCAGCTATTTCTTGCTGCTTGAAGTTCGGAAGCAGTTGCATGTAACTGATGGGTTAAATCCTATAATACATATTAATTTCGTAGTTTCGTGAATTTAATTCTAAGAAATAACTAAAATTATAAACAATATGCTTATGTACTTGATTTCTACATTCCGCTTCGACATGAGCCAGTTTTGTTTGAGCCAATTCCAATTCTAATTCTCGTACTCTTTCTTGTACTCTATGTAACATAGGATCTATTCGATTCTCTAAAGGATGTGCAATATCTGCCAATATATTGGATGAATCCATTATGCAATTTTTACACTTTTCACATTTTGAAACTTTGGACTATAAATAAATTTCATTATAAAATGTTATTATAATATAATAAATGTCATAAAAATTTAATAAAAATAATATTTTTTACTTACTCGTAATTCACTAAGTGTCGTCTTTGCAGCATTATAATCATCTTCTAAACGTTGACAAATCTGAAATAAATATTGTATCCAAATAAACATTAATAAAATTAATTAAATTATATAATAAACATAATATATATATTTACCTGCTTATATTCGGCAATAATAATATTACTTCGTCGACTCTCCGCATCTGCTCTTGCTACTTCTCGTTGCAACATTTCTTTAACTTGAACCAATTCAGCTTCTAATCTCTGTTTTTCCTCTTCATTCCGCGCTACTGTACCTCGTAATTGTTCCACTTCATTACTATATTCATCGGCATTTTCTTGTGCTTCTGTATAATATAAATATAAAAGTATTATATTAAAATATACATGTTTCAAATTCTTTATAATAATTAAAATATAATAAAAGATAAAATACATTTTTTATATTTTATCATTAAAATATTTACATGATTTTATTAATTTTCTAAAATAGAGAAAAATATTTTTAATTGTTATTATATAAGAAACTTATAAATATGATCTTACTCTCTATCAATGCAATTATATTATGACTCATGATTCCAACAGTGAAATACTGAAACTAAATGATTTCAATGTAATTGGTCGACATATAATATTTTACAAAAGCACAGATATCATATCTTACAGATATCAATGTTCTACTATATTTTCTGTCCATATCACAACTAATTTTGAATTATTAACATAACTGTAAATGTTTCTTGCTTGCATATAGTTTATATTTAAATGTATAAATATAATATTTAAAACTTTAATATATATAAAATAAATTAACAAAAATAGCAGATGGAAAGATATAAAAATATTTTTAATACATCAAAAATAATTTAATTTTTTAGGATCTTAATATTATTTTATATAATATTATTTTATTAATCAAAGAATATAATTTATATCTGCTGTAATAATAATTAATTTCAATAATACATTTCTATATTTATTAATTCTTATAAGCCTTAACAACTTTGTATACAAACTCTTGTTAATGTTTTTTGAATATTATATTATAATATTGTAAAAAAATTAGATAAAAATTTTTTTAGAATATATAATCTCTTTTCAATTTTCTAGAAATTTTATTGAATTGTATTAAATGCAAAAAATTAAAAAATTATAAATTTATATTTTCACAATTATAATATATTTCATGCAATTTCGATTGAATCGACAAATAAAATTAAAAGTATAAGGAGCAGGGTGTACATAGGTGAATTGACAAAATTAAAAACGCTATTCTAAATGGACGATTTATTTCTGGTATGAAAAAATAAATAATCTTTTATAAAAATTCATACACAAGACAGTATACAAAGCAGTATGGCTGAATAAGCACGAAGAAATATTATTATAAACAACACGAAATTATAAAAGCTTTTAGATATTATAACATAAATAATTCAATGAAAAAATAAATACAATTTTTAGACAATATTATAGACAATATTTTTGTCTATAACAATTAATGCTAATAATTTGTGCTTCATTAAACATAATATAACAAAAAATATTTATCTTGCACTATAATATAATAGCTATAATATTTCAGCCAGTTCAATGAATTTGAAAAAATTAATTATAAAAGATAATGTTTTTATTAATATTGTTTATTTGAATAACATCAAATAATAAAGAAAGACAAAACATATTTATATATGTATATATATATATATATATATATATTTCATGATTCATC